ACAAACTCTTTCGAATTTCTATGAACCTTATTTTCATATTCGTACATGTGTTCAGTATTTTTAAGAATTCTGTTTTGAATGTATACTTTCTTTTGAAAATAAGTTATTACTGGACATATATACTCCTTCTATTCCAAATAAGTGACTCAATTTTGTACTAACTTTTACAAAGTTGAGTTACTTATTTTTGACTCAACTTTGTACTAACTTTTAAAATAGAGCTTTTTCCTATTTGTGATCAATGAAATGACTTCAACCTGGTGGTTATGAGCGAAAACTCTCGACGCTCTCACTCAGACATCAAATTCCGGTATTCGTGAATAGCAACTGGAAGAAGCCTTTGATTTTTTTTCTATGTTTGAGAACAAATTGTTAACGATGTTTTGATGGGCCATGGCCCACTGCTGGTCGCTGTAGGCGTCGCTTCTCCAACGGGCGCCTACATCGCCAACTAGGAGCTCCTCTATGTTTGTCCTATTAAAGATAGTTTTAAGATAGATGGGGTATTAGTAAGGCTAGCTTGTCATTTTTCCTAACAAAGTGAAAGTTTGGCCCATAAAGGCCAGTCTTTAGCCTAACTCGAAACTTCCAATTATGTGACATCAAAAGAGAAACCCCAAAGACGGGGCACACTAAAAAAACTAAGCTACAACTTTTTACTGGAGGAATTAGGGAGCTTCAGAGCATCTACAACTAGCATACCAAATTTGGCACCTTATACGTCCACGAATGTGTAAGCAGACAGTGACCGGCCAATTCTCAAATTGCCGCGTCCAAAGCCGTATACCTCATATCTGGTACCCTAAATCCATAATACGCATGCAACATGAAACTAAACTACGTAGATTGTCAACAAAACAAAAATGAACATTGAACAAACAGACATAGAAATCAACAACATATGGACATAGAAATCTGTATATCCGAACATAGACCAAAAGAGCACCATAGTTTTAAACTAAATTTACTAACAAATAGAAATAAAGACGGGCAAGTTCTTCACCACTTCCTCGCCGACCTTTTGTCCTTCCTGTCACCGACGCTGTTGTAGGCTTCGTCGGCAGGAGGTGGGTCGTTGGAGCCGTTAGTGACGTTGGAGGAGGATGAGGAGTCGATGAAGCTGACCATGCTCCGGATGGCAAGGTCTTGCTGCCTTTTGAGCTTCGTCACCTCCGCGGCCTCTCCGTCGCTCCCGCACGAACTGCTCCAGACCTAGCGGGAGGGCCTTTGCATTTTTCTGACGGAGTCGACGGCCGTCCATCTCCGCCATCGTCAATGAACGGCAGTAGACAACTGTGAGAAGCTGCTCCTCCTCATCAGGCAGCACCTGCAACCCACGGCGATGGCGGGAGGACTGTGCAGCTGCCTCCGATGTCGCTGATCTCTTCCTAGTCCCCCGCCTCTTGCGGCGGGCGGCGCACGCCTTCGATTCGGGTGTGCGCTCCAGCGGCGCCAGCGCTCAGCGGAGCGGGCACTAACACCCGCCACTACCTGCGGAGCAGCGAACGGAGGATGAGGAGGGTGGCGGGCCAGTGACACGGAGAGGTACGCGGTGCGGGACGGGCCCGCTTCGGCATTGGCATTGCGGTGGCGGGCGACAGGGAACGGAGCAAGGCTTGTGCTTCCGCCCGTGTCCAACCGGGAACACTGTAGTGCAATGCGGAGGGCCAGCTCCTCCTCGCCGCCATCCGCCTTGCAGAGAAAGGTGTCCCACTCGTCGCCAGATCCCTCAGAATGGCTTTTGGTGCTGGATATCGTGGATGGAGATTGGGAGGGAAGCAAATTAAGAAGTGGGAGGAGAAGAGATGGAGAACGGTGCAACAATGAAGTGTATGTATTATTTAAAAATATCCCAAACATGGCATAAATCATTATTTTATTAGAAATAGAAGTATAATGTATTATTTAAATATCCTAAATTTTTTATTTAAAAATTGCACTGTTCATGTCTTTCAGGTCGGATCGGGCTTGTGATTTTGAGGCCAGGCTTTGCAAAGCTCGTCCCGAACCAGGCCCGGACCGGAGAGGGTGCCCAGGTTTACCAATAGCTGCACGCTTTCACCGTTCACGTAATGCACTCTCGCAAAAAAAAATAAAAAAAAATACAAACGGCAACCAGCTGCGCTAACGCACCAATTGCTGCTCCACTACGAATGGTGCGCAACGCAGCCGGAGGCTCGGTGGACGCCGCCTTCCCTTTCCGCCTACACCACCTTGCGGCGGCACGGCATCCTTTGCCTCACCGGCCCGTACCCGTTTGTCGTGTGAGTGTAGGCAACACTATTATATACTGTATTTTTTTGCGAAATGGCAACACTATATATTAGTATTACAGTATTGTCTCAATATATATATATATATATATATATATATATATAGTATATATGTGGATGAAAAGGCTTAACCAAAACGCCCGGGTACGTACGTCGCTTCTAAGGCCTTGTACAATAGAAGATGCTTAGGGGAGGTGCTTAGAGAAATAAATCAGGCTTTTCTTAAGCACCGGTGCTTATTTGTACATAATAAACGTTTAACTAAACATCTCTCCTGTAGAAATAGTCACCGGTGCTTAAAAAAATCCGGTTTATTTTTCTAAGCATCTTTCTAAGCACCTTTCGTTGTACAAGGCCTAATTGTGATTTGGTTGCTCCCGATCATGTGGTACTCTGTGTGGCTGTGTGCAAAAGCTTCGTCCGCATAGCTACTTCTAACTCTCTGTACTACCTGCACTTAAACTACTCCATCTTATTGGTTGCTCTGATCTTATAATCAGCTGGCTGGAACCTGCCGGGTTCACTTGTATTATCATTCTTCTATAATAATGTCTTTGTTGGGAGCATAGTTAAGGGATAACAACTGACTAGTACTACCATCTAATATGATTCGGAGGGTGCCATACATTCTAGATTAGATGCAAACTGCTCAAGCAACCTACTTGCAATGGTATAAGGTCCAAACAACGACTTACAAAAACAACATGAAATTATTCGACCTAACTTATTGTTATTCTCAAGATATACCGTTAAAATATGCTCCCTTCATTTTTATTTACTCCTTATATTAGCTTTGACTGAAGTCAAACTTTATAAAGTTTGATCAAATTTGAAGAAAACAATATGAACATTTACAGTAATAAATTTATATCATGTGAAAATATATGCAACAATGAATCCAATGATATATATTTGGTGGTGTCTATGTTAATATATTTTTCTACAAACTTTTGAAAGTATATATAAAGTTTGACTTTAGACAAACCTAATATGCAGAGGAAATAAAAACAGAGGAAGTACTAAATGTTCCAAAAATTTAAATATGGATGTTGGCATGAATTGAACTATGAAATCGTCATGGTAACACTCTGCTTACTAGTCGAAATATTAGCTTGGCTCATGGTATTGATTTCACAGTTTAGAGTTTTAGAGTTTACAAATGATGAAATGATAACTTGCAAAGTTCATAAATTTGTAAAAGAAAAAAAAATTCATGTAAAAACTGGCAAAATTCAAACAATTTTATCTTGATTTTTTATATGGGACACGCATGGTCATACCTTGATTAAATGCTCACACTTTGCAGCTACTCTACGATGAGTGCGGTGTTTCGTGGCCAGGCTCTTCTGCACCCGGTCAGAAAAAAGTCACAAAAAATAAAAATAAAAATCCAATTTTTATGCTTGGTAGAAAATTTATTGCGTGAGAGCCGTTCCAATTTTCAGATCATTTAGACATCTGAGTAGCTCTCAGAAAAAAAGACAAATCAGGTCAAACAGTGCATGAACAGTAAACTTTTTTATAGACCCTGAATTTATCTTTTTTGCCGAGAGCTGCTCAGTTGTCCAAATGACTTGAAAAATAGAGCGGACCTCACGCATCAAATTATTTACCATGCATTTTTTTTGGAATTTTTGATTTTTTCTAGTATTTGTTTTGAATTTTTCCTTCAGCGCGGGTGCAGATGAGTCTTGGCTTAGAAGTTGATTATCGCTCCATGACAAGTTTCCAAAGTAGTATTCTATGACTTTGAAGGTTCTAGCTTTCTCTCCCAATGCCCGTGAAGAATGTGCCATAGGAACGGCTTTGGGTCATGTACAAAACTAGCAGAAGGCCGTGAATCGCCACGAGCTAAAATCCTTAGATCAACAAAAGAAAGCCTACTATCCTTCCTTGGCATGATATAGATGTCCATATTTATGACATGAGACTAAGAGAGAAATGAAAATTGTTTCCAACGATGTGGGTTCAATGGGAGAACGAAAAAGAACGGCCATTCCGTTTGGGTTTGGCCGAACAACTAACAATTTTGTGCACCTGCATACGCAACCAGAGCATGATGCCCGCCAAGTTGCCCTAAACAAAACCAAATGATTGCCCGCCAAGTTGAGCGTCAGCAGTACAGTACCTGCCCCCTCGGGACTGCAAAATTTGAGGTGCACGTTTTAGGTGCCCCGAAGCGGCACCCCCTTTCTCGGAAGAGAAAACCGGATAAGCGCAAGGAGACAGAACGCCTGACTGACAGGCGGACCCGCGTCCAGTCTGGACTCTGGAGCAGGCGCGGCGGCCCAATCCAAAGTCCAACCACCGCCAGGCTACTCCTCCCTCCTCCCCCAGACCACGCGCGTTACGTTATTATTAGCAGCCACGTGGCTAATTGCCCGATTTAACCATCGATAATTCGGGCGCCTCGTCCCCCAGGCACCCACGTGTTCCCCGGCATCCCCCGCTGGCGCGTGGGCCCTCTTGACAGCCGGGCCCCGCTGGACCCACCTCACCGTGGGCAAATCGGCCACCGAAGCGAGTGCGAACAGGTGGGTCTTCTCCCAAATCCCATCGGAGATGCCCTTTGCCCCCTCTCCCAATCGGAGGCGCTTATTAATAAGACGTTAAAAACCCGCCGCGACACGGGACCGAGTAGCAGTAACGCGTTACGAAACAAAAACTTCAGGACAGGAAGAGGGAGGGAGAGAGCGAGCGAGGGAGGAGAGCGGCGAGGCTCCGTCCATGGCTGCGCCGGCGGAGGAGGCGTCCACGGCGCCGAGGAGCCTCCCCGAGGAGGAGGAGGAGGAGGAGGCGATGGCGGTGCTGGACTTCGACATGCTGTGCGCGTCCGTGGCCATGTCGGCGGAGAGGAGGAAGGGCGCCGGCATGGGGGAGGCGGCGGCGGCGTGCGCGGGCTCGGGCGGCGGAGAGGGGGCCGCCGGCGGAGGAGGGGTGCAGAGGATGTGGGAGGGGGACGTCGTGATTGATTGCTTGGAGGACCGGCGAATCGCGCTCGAGGCCGCCTGGTAGGTGGAGCTAACTCTTGGCCGCTCGTTTCATTCATCAAACCTGTATTGGTTGGTCCGGAAGGACCTGTTTTCGGTGGTTGCCGCGGGGAAGGTTGGAGATTCTACTAGTACTAGCTTAGCTCAATCTTTCCATATTGATTTTCTGCGGATTTGGCCATAAACTGCGCTGCTGTATTTATGCCAACTCGATATGGAATACTAGTACTATTTGTCTCGCATGAATACTGCTTGTTTTGGCTGTGTGCATCATCATCATGAATTCATGATGCAGAGGCCGGGGTTTTCCCCTTTTCAGAAAAAAAATGGATACTGCTTGAAATGCCATCAGTGTTATCTAATTTAGCGATAGTCTCGTCATTTATTTGTTAGTTCTTCCTAGCTTCAATCGTGGAAGAAGAAAGGCCTTCGCCAAATAAAGGTCTTTGCCTAATTAGTGCTAGCTGTCCTTGGAGCATACTTCATCTCTGATGCAGACTCGCAGATGATTTATCATAAAATTTTACTCAAGGTTTAGTTTCTCTCTTGGACTTTAGGTTGGTTAACTCGAGTACCGGAAAGTATTTCCTAGCTTGAATCATGAATGAAAAATCAACATGTTTAATATAAGTTAGTAGTATAGGGAACATTCCCCAACGAGAGGTCTTACCCCTTCTGAACTTCTGCCTTTGTTCTATTCGACTGTCTTTGAAAAAGATTCCATTTTCCTCTGCTGTACAACATATTTTAATGTGCAACTGTGATTAAACTTTTGGGGTTCTTCGCTTTAACGTTCCTGTTTGCTTGCAACTACTTGCAGTTGCCCATGCTATAGGTTTGGCAAGAACATGCGGAGAGCCAATCTCGGATCTTGTTTCCTTCAGGTACAGATAATACCCTGAGCAACTTATGACCATGTCCCGTCCATTTCTTGCTTGTCATTTTTCTGTGCCAAACGTGTAGTCACATTGCTGTGTAGGTTACTTTATTTATGATGCTGCTGTTGGTAGGAAGTAGGAAACCGTTTGGTTGAGCTAGGCTCTTTATTATTCCAGTACCAAATGCAGAATTTCTTGTAGGTCAATCCTTTTAGAGTAAAAAAGTAGACTATTCTTGATATAGTTGCCTTGAAAAGTAACATCTTAACTTCTTAAATATGTGGAATATTTTTCTCAATTTATTCTAATAACAACTTCCTCCTAATGCTAGAGAGGTGGAATATTTTGTTAGAATGCCTCTTGCTAAATTTGTTGAAATGAATGCTTACTTCCATCTAAGTTGTTTAGTCAAAAATAGCAAAGCTGTCTTCTGACTAGTTATACAACAGAGAAGATAATGCATATGATGTTTGACTTGCCAATGTGAAAAGGATTTGCTTGGATAATTCTGTATTCTTTTGGGCTTAGACCTGGTCAACATGAAGGACATCCTGCCCTGTTCACATTGGCAAGTCAACCCTCTTGCAAGTATAACGTGCAGTGTCATTTCCTCCAACATAAACTAGAGATCATATTACTAGAACTTATCCTTTAGGGTATGCACAAGCTCAAAAAAAAGGGCAGGGTCATTCATGTTGACCAGATTGAAGCCCACAAGAAATTGACTTAGCATGACAAGTCATGCAAAGTGTGCCAAACAAATTAGTTGTCACGTATTTTGGTAAGGTTTCGCAAGGTATGAGTTTATGTAGTCACAAACAGTTCTCTCATCTGTGGCAAGATGTGGGTATCAACCAAATGTGCTTTATCCTCCATGTCTGCCAATATGTGCTGATAAATTTGTGTTTTTCTCTGTTTTCCTGCCCTGTTGCGAAGTCTTTTTAGAATTATTACAACCATTGTTGTTTGCTGCAACATACTCTTGTTCCCATTGTATCTGACATTTTCAGTTTTACCATTGGTTTACTTGAGCTGTGTTGTTAAGCTCATGTTCTTTTAAGAACTCTTATTCACTCTTCTGATACAGTATGAAACTATTTCAGGCAATGGCTTACTTCATTTCATTAGTTGCTGTTCTGGTCAGCTTAATTGCCTTTTCTGTAACAAGGCATCATGTATATCTATATGTGGGACTTGGTTCTGTTCTCTTGATAGCAATCTACACCGGTTACTTCCGAAGAAGAATCAGGAAACTGTTCAATATCCGGGTAAGTATTTCTGAATTAGCGTTTTCAAATAAAGTATTCAGACAGATTACAGCTTACTAGTGCACTAGTGCTTAATGCAGTTGGCTGTGGTGCCTGTCTTCTCTTGAATCACAATTAATTCAAATCTGGGGCTTTAATCGAATGAACAATAACTGAAACTTGTTTTGAGTTAATATTGGTAGTTCGGCATACCCTTGCCAGTTTGTATGTGATGACTATTTTGCCAACTTCTGAATAGATATTAGTATATGTACTTTAATTCAGGAATGATGGGGAGAGTAAGACATCTCATTGACCCTTTTGTGTGATTTCAGGGGACTGATGGCAGTCTAGATGACTGTGTTCTCCATCTGATATGTCCTTGTTGTACCCTGTGCCAGGTTATATACATTCAGACCACCTTGGAACCAAAAGTTCACTAATTTGTTTATTATTGATATATATTGGCCTCACAGTTGTCATTTTGAATAAGCAGGAGGCAAGAACTTTAGAGATGAATAATGTCCAGTGTGGTGTCTGGCACGGGCGGGGTGATACCATTTGTTTAGGAAGCAATGGTGAAGGAAACAAGGCCTTCGCTGCTCTACACAAATCACCATTTGTGCTTATAAAATCCCCTGAGTTGTGTGGCATGGACAGAATATCAATTGGGCCTGATGAACATCAGCCGCTCGTCCCATCAGTGCAACCAGAGCAGGAGTAAGGAATTATTCTGTACCATGGCACAATTCGAACAGAACAGGTGGATCTCTCGTGCGTGTTATCGAAAGGGGAAAAAAGGGAAGAATCAGTGGATCCCTCTGCGATGAAATCATCAGCCCTGTGATTCTCTGCCTGTTTGTTGTATCAAGTCTGAAGAACTGGTTTGGCAGCAACCCATGTATGTTGATGGTGGGCGTAATTGGCCTGTTGTTGTAAACACCACAGCAATAATGTTCATCATGCACCGGATGTGCATATGTGTCATGATGCTCAGGGCTTATGTCTGAATCCAAGTGTAAAATTCTGTTGATGCAACGATAGTTGGCGAGATTGGGCATGAATGGAATCAAATGTTCTGCTTCTTTGATGTTGTTTCTTGTAAAACCCGCCTTCCATTTTTCTTTGCTAACATCATTTACCTTCTTTTTAACTCTGAGAATTGATAATTACATGTGTCAATCACATGGAAGATGCATGCTTTCATAGCACATAACAAAAGAGGGGATCAAAATTTTTGTGTTTATTTAGCTTACACAAATACACACGGCCGTGGAAGAAGCAATCCGGGAGACGATTCCATTCGCCAGTACACCTGCTGGAGGTTTCAGAACAGAAAAGAGCACATGACTTTGTTAGGATAAAGTGATGCATACTCACAATCATTCAGAAAAAGGTCAAGCCTTCTTTTCCAATGTATAAAGCCTTGCCAAGTTGCAATTGCAATAATACAAAGTAATGCGGTTGTCCTACATGCGGGATGACCTTTCAATTTCTTAATCAATCTGCGATAAGGGAGGAGGAAGCTCAGTGCTGGGCTTTGCACTAGTGTGCACCACCTTTGCCAAACCACTAGAATGTCTATACGTGTCTTGCATGTGCCCCACGGATTTGGCATCTTTTCTTGTAGGAACCTTTTTTCTTCCTTTCTATGAATCATTATCAACTATCCTAGCTTACTTTGTGGTGATCACAGCCCAAAGAAGCAGAAATGATGTAGGGTGGGAACCCTAATCGGCCAATCTTTCACGAAAGGAGCGGATCCCGCGATGAACACGAAGAACACGAGGAGGGAAACGAGAGAAAACACGGGGGAAACACAAAAGAGACACTCAAACCAACAAGAATAAGTCACACATGTGCTAGATCCTCGAATATAAAGAACGATACACGATCCACGGTCAACTAGGGACGATACAAGGGGCGCGATCTTCTCCCTGAGGAGGTCTTGAGTTCTTCCCTAAAGGGGTCTTGAATCCGCTTGGGGGATCTTCTCCGGTGGAGGCTCGAATCTCCGAGGAGAAGGTAACCAAGTGGATGAGCAAAGCTCTCACACAAATATGAGCTAATCCTTTGCTAACCCTAGAAAGGAGGAGGGAGAGGTCTATTTATAGTCTTAGTGCAAAAGAGGAGGGCGAAGGGGTACATGGGCTGCGGCCCAACACGAAACATCACACAGGCGTCGGACGTCCGGTAGTCATCGGTCGTCCGGAGGCTCGTGAGGGTCCAGACGTCCGTAGATTCGGCTCGGGTGGACTTCGGTCGGACGTCCGGACGGGGTCGGACGTCCGGAGCCTAGACGTCGTCGGTCGTCCATAGCGCTTCGGAAGTCCATAGTTTTGGCTCGGGTGTGGAAGCGTCGGTCGTCCGGAGGGGGCCGGACGTCCGGAGCCTGGAGGTCATCGGACGTCCGGGGCCTGTCGGTCGTCCGGAGCCTGGGGACTTCGAGCAGTTCTTCTTCTTGTCCCATGAACTTGGCGTCCTCACCGTCTTGTCCGTTGAGTGTAGTTGGTCCGTGGCTTTCCTCCAAGTACCTGATCATACGTAGGGTTTTCACTTGAGGTAGTAGCCAATTCTCATGCATGGAGAGTGGAAGTTCGGAGAGGAGTGAGTTCACCTTATCTTTGATAGCCTTGGCTCGGGCTCTTGTCATTGGTCCAAGTGGTGACGTTGGAGGTGTAGGTGCGTCCATGGGGATGATCGTGGGATGCTCCGCATCATCTCCCCTCCCTTGGGGAAGATCCGTCCTCGGATCGAATTCTTCATCACCATGGTACGGGGGTAGATCTTTGTGTTGGGGAAGGTAGATGTAGAGGTAGCATGCCGACCACGATCACATCGACTTTGGAACCATTTCCCACGTGCATCGTCACCTCGTCCTTAGCCAATCTTCGCTTAATCCGTAGCCCCTGTTTCGAGTTGCAAATATTAGCAACAGAACCAGTATCAAATACCCAGGTGCTACTGCGAGCATTAGTAAGGTACACATCAATAACATGTATATCACATATACCTTTGTTCACCTTGCCATCCTTCTTATCCGCCAAATACTTGGGGCAGTTCCGCTTCCAGTGACCAGACTGCTTGCAGTAGAAGCACTCAGTTTCAGGCTTAGGTCCAGACTTGGGTTTCTTCTCTTGAGCAGCAACTTGCTTGCTGTTCTTCTTGAAGTTCCCCTTCTTCTTCCCTTTGCCCTTTTTCTTGAAACTAGTGGTCTTGTTGACCATCAACACTTGATGCTCCTTCTTGATTTCTACCTCTGCAGCCTTTAGCATTGCGAAGAGTTCGGGAATTGTTTTATTCATCCCTTGCATATTATAATTCATCACGAAGCTCTTGTAGCTTGGTGGCAGTGATTGAAGAACTCTGTCAATGACACTATCAACTGGAAGATTAACTCCCAGCTGAGTCAAGTGATTATGGTACCCAGACATTCAGAGTATATGTTCACTGACATAACTATTCTCCTCCATTTTGCAGCTATAGAACTTATTGGAGACTTCATATCTCTCAATCTGGGAATTTGCTTGAAATATTAACTTCAACTCCTGGAACATCTCATATGCTCCATGACGTTCAAAACGTCGTTGAAGTCCCGGTTCTAAGCCGTAAAGCATGGCACACTAAACTATCGAGTAGTCATCAGCTTTGCTCTGCCAGACGTTCTTAGCGTCGTCAGTTGCATCAGCAGCAGGCCTAGCACTCAGCGGTGCTTCCAGGACGTAATTCTTCTGTGCAGCAATGAGGATAATCCTCAAGTTACGGATCCAGTCCGTGTAATTGCTACCATCATCTTTCAACTTTGCTTTCTCAAGGAACGCATTAAAATTCAACGGAACAACAGCACGGGCCATCTATCTACAATCAACATAGACAAGCAAGATACTATCAGGTACTAAGTTCATGATAAATTTAAGTTCAATTAATCATATTACTTAAGAACTCCCACTTAGATAGACATCCCTTTAATCCTCTAAGTGATCACGTGATCCAAATCAACTAAACCATGTCCGATCATCACGTGAGATGGAGTAGTTTCAATGGTGAACATCACTACGTTGATCATATCTACTATATGATTCACACTCGACCTTCCGGTCTCCATGTTCCGAGGCCATATCTGTTATATGCTATGCTCGTCAAGTTTAACCTGAGTATTCCGTGTGTGCAAATGTTTTGCACCCGTTGTATTTAAACGTAGAGCATATCACACCCGATCATCACGTGGTGTCTCAGCACGAAGAACTTTCGCAACGGTGCATACTCAGGGAGAACACTTATACTTTGATAATTTAGTGAGGGATCATCTTATAATGCTACCGTCAATCAAAGCAAGATAAGATGCATAAAATATAAACATCACATGCAATCAATATAAGTGATATGATATGGCCATCATCATCTTGTGCTTATGATCTCCATCTCCGAAGCACCATCATGATCACCATCATCATCGGCGCGACACTTTGATCTCCATCGTAGCATCATTGTCGTCTCGCCAATCTTATGCTTCCACGACTATCGCTACCGCTTAGTGATAAAGTAAAGCATTACAGGGCGATTGCATTGCATACAATAAAGCGACAACCATATGGCTCCTGCCAGTTGCCGATAACTTCGGTTACAAAACATGATCATCTCATACAATAAAATTTAGCATCATGACTTGACCATATCACATCACAACATGCCCTGCAAAAACAAGTTAGACGTCCTCAACTTTGTTGTTGCAAGTTTTACGTGGCTGCTACGGGCTTAGCAAGAACCGTTCTTATCTACGCATCAAAACCACAACGATAGTTTGTCAAGTTGGTGTTGTTTTAACCTTCGCAAGGACCGGGCGTAGCCATACTCGGTTCAACTAAAGTTGGAGAAACTGACATCCGCCAGCCACCTATGTGCAAAGCACGTCGATAGAACCAGTCTCGCGTAAGCGTACGCGTAATGTCGGTCCGGGCCGCTTCATCCAACAATACCGCCGAACCAAAGTATGACATGCTGGTAAGCAGTATGACTTATATCGCCCACAACTCACTTGTGTTCTACTCGTGCATATAACATCAACGCATAAAACCTGGCTCTGATACCACTGTTGGGGAACGTAGTAATTTCAAAAAAATTCCTACGCACACGCAAGATCATGGTGATGCACAACAACGAGAGGGGAGAGTGTTGCCCACGTATCCTCGTAGACCGAAAGCGGAAGCGTTAGCACAACGCGGTTGATGTAGTCGTACGTCTTCATGATCTGACCGATTAACTACCGAACGTGCGGCACCTCCAAGTTCAGCACACGTTCAGCCCGATGACGTCCCTCGAACTCTGATCCAGCCAAGTGTTGAGGGAGAGTTTCGTCAGCACGACGGCGTGGTGACAATGTTGATGTTCTACCAACGCAAGGCTTCGCCTAAGCACCACTACAGTATTATCGAGGTGGACTATGGTGGAGGGGGGCACCGCACACGGCTAAGAGATCAATGATCTAATGTTGTGTGTCTAGGGTGCCCCCTGCCCCTGTATATAAAGGAGCAAAGGGGGGGGGGTGCGGCCGTCCAGGGCATAGGCACGCCAGGAGGAGTCCTACTCCCACCGGGAGTAGGACTCCCCTCTTTCCTAGTTGGATTAGGACTTGGGAGGGGGAAAGAAGGAAAGAGGGGGGCCGACCCCCTTTTCCCTAAACCAATTCGGTTTGGGCCTTGGGAGGGCGCACCCTACACTTCTTGCTTCCCTCCTTTTTCCACTAAGGCCCATGTAGGCCCATTAAGCCCCGGGGGGTTCCGGTAACCTCCTGGTACTCCGGTAAAATCCCGATTTCACCCGGAACACTTCT